TAGGCCAAGGTTTCTAATCCTAAGTCCTAGAAAAAAAAGTCCCATGCTCCATAATGCAAAGGATAGTAACCAAATAGTCCAAGTACCATTAAATATTTTTATGGTTTATGTTGATTATTAAGTATCTTAAAAAAAAAAAAGCTCAAGTGAGCAAAGTAAAAATGACAAGAAAGTAAATGCCCAAATGAGCAAAGATGAAAATGGTATGAAATGTAAATGCTAAAAGTAAATGGTACATAAAGTATAAAAAAAATTAAAGCATAAAGTAAAACAAGTAAATAATTAGTGGTTAGTTGGATGACCATCTTGAAGCTTGCATTTGGAACTCATTAGAGGATTGGTAGAACTAAAGCCTCCACACAACAAGTTGCATTTGCTTTTTGTCAAGTATATCATCCATTTGGAATTCTCACAAGTGCCATTTAATAATCAACGATGTTTAAGTGATCCGCATTGACCAAAGGTGTTGTAGATCCATTAGAGGATTGGTAGAACCAAAGCCTCCACACAATGAATCTCAAGATTATTGAATCAAAGAGATCAAATTAACATAATTGGGCTTGCAAACATAAGTTTGGACCACGAATGATCATTTATTCGAATCGGGACAAAATTTAACGCTATGTTAAGCAATCGTAAGTGGACTTATATAGAAGCCGCACCTATTTTGAGGCCGGTCAATAGCAATCTATGCACCATTTATTCTGAGACATGATATAGAGATCATACTCCAACAACATTTAGTGCAATAGGAAGGGGATGAGATGAAGAGGGATGAGAGAGAATATACAAACCACTTTTGAATTAAATTTAATCAAACTATTATTAAAATCATTCATCCATTTTTTGTGGAGTTAAACTCAACACCATGGATCTAATGATGTTAATAAAGTTCATGATCCAAAATTTAACCCAAGATCATCCAGAAAATAGTCACAAAATAATATTACATTTTAATATATACAAAAGGGTTTAAAAATAATGTTTAAAAAATAGAAAATAAAGAGAAAAATATCAACTATGTTCAAATTAATCAAGAAATAAAAAGTAAGACCATAGAAAAATTAGAAAAAGGCTCAAATAATTTTACAAATTTTTTGGTAATTTTTTAAAGTCAGAAACTATTTTTAAAATTAAAAGAAATGGGTAAAATAAACCAAAAATGATTAAAAAAAATAGTAAAGTCAGAAACAAAAATAAAATAAGGTCACCAATATTTGTCACAATATTGTTGGATCACTCCATAATTTTTTCAGAATTTAAAAATCTATAAAAGTATTTTTAAACATTTAATACAATTCAAATAAAGTGTAAATTTATTTTTAAAAAAATAGCAAAACACAATATTAAATTGTGAAAAATTAAAATCATAAAGAGAATAATCAAAATATTTTTTCATAATTTCTTCTGATTTTTTGGACTTAAAATGAATTTTTTATGTTTTTTTTGAAATTTAAAACAATTAAAATATAAAAATCAGAAAATAAAATAAAAGTAAAAATATGTTGACCATTGGATGAGAGTCAAAACGCGTTAGTAATCAAATCCAAGGGATCTGGCGCGTTGTGCATATCATGGTCATTAGTGAATAAAGTACATAATCAAATATAAATCAGATTTTCAAAAATAACAAGTAGCTTGCCATCATTGGTTGGAAGATGACACGTAGGTCATCTTCAACCTCCAGCCAACGTGATTTGCAGGTCTCTCAAACTGTAAAATCAGAAGCTCGGACCTATGCCGTTTGCTTCGTCTCTTCAAGACGAAGATAACCACACCCTCGCGCCAAATTTATATAAACTGTAGCTCAAGCAATTTGGAAGGAAAGTTTTGAAATTGGATTTGAAATTTCATGGTCAAAACGTGTTTCTAATAAAAGGTATGTGTTGCAACTAGAACCAGGGCAATGAGAGCAACCTATTGAAGTTGAGTTGCAGAGCTCTGAAACTGGACTTCTATGGAGCAGTATAGGGCACGATTCTTGAATGTAATTATGTGGTTAGCTTCAGGGAAGATCAAGGAAGGTGAATTGATGGAAAAATTGGATTGAAAAAGGCTTGAGAATGGATTTTGAAGTTACTGAATTCTGAGTTGTGGAACAAGTTTGGTAGGGTGATTCTGGCTATCCAAGCTTGAGAAAATGAATGGGGAATGACCCTCTATTTATAGGGAATCAAATGGAATGTTTAAGTGTGTGAAATGATGAAGTTTGGAGGGAAATCTTGTGAAGTTGCAAACAAGAAAAGTGTGACTTCAAACTTGATCAAAACTCATCCAAAATGCGCGTTTTGTTTTGCTAATCCATTTTGGAAGTTCACTAAACATGTTTAGAGGCAAAAATGCGTGGAAAACTTGTGATTAGAAGCCAAAACAAAGATTTCAAAATCTGACTTGTGAGGAAACTTCGGTTCCAAGTTACCAATTTCAAAATCATGGCATTCTCAGCTCAAGGGGTCTTAGGGCATGATTCTTGATGCTTTTGAAAGATGAGGTTACAAGCTTTGTAATGGAAAAAGAATGGAATCAAGTGGATGCTTGAGCTGAAAGTTGTGTTGAGTCAAAGTTGGAGAAAAAGAGTTGACTTTCCATACTTAGAAATATTTCAAGTTCTTCTTCAAAAATGACCTATAATGTCTTGCATCCAAACATGGCCTTCCACATGGAATTTGCTATTGACCAAAGAATACGGTATGAAGTAGATCTATTGAATGACATTTTGAAACTTGAACCATTCAAAATCTCCAAAAATTGAGAGAGTTATGAATTGTTGAAGTTGGCAAAAAATCATGAAATGACCTATAATGTCTTGCATCCTTAAGGAAACTTCCATCCATTTTATCACTTTGCACATAAAAGAAGGTATAAAGTTCACACCTTCAAGATCATTATGGAAAAATAATGGGATTAAGGTGATAATAATTTACCAAGTTATGATCATTTGAAGTCACACATGGAAAATTGGAGATTCATCTGGAGGACTTGTAATTTTTCTTCCTCATTAAGTTTCTTCCCCGTGACAACTCCTTGAAACTTTTGAAGTGATTTGTTGGTAACCATTTGAAGAGAAAGATTTATTTGGAATCACTCAAAATTACCGAGAGATGAGAAAGATATATTCCTTTGAAGTTAAAAACCCTAGCTCCTTAGATCAAGAGAATGCTTTGAGGAACTTTGACAATTTTGAACAAATTTCTTGTACCAACACACAAGATTTGTAAATAGAAGTTGTTGGGGATGATAATGATAACTCATGGACACCAAAACCACTTCTATATCTTGAATATTGATAGAAATATGCACTTATGACCAAATGGAATAAAATCTTGTCCAACCATGACAACTTCTCCAATCAATCCCTTGTGCTTTTCAACCAAATTTGATAACCTTGAAATGTGATGAACCAAAACAACCTTGCCATGCAAATTCTTCCTATACCAATCCAATGGTTAGGTTTGAACTTCTCAAGCTTTATTGACTAGGGTATGGAAATAAACTCATGAACCCATGGGGTAACTTGTTAAATCCCATTGCCTTTACCTACATGGATAACAAGCAAGACAAACCAACATTGAATTTTATTTAGTTAAAAGAAGAAATCAAGACAAAAACAATATTCATGGTCACAAAAGAACATAAGTCAAGGTGTTTGGTGATTCCTCAAAAGGTCAAAACTAAATATAGGGAGGGGAACCAAGAATCCTAGTGTGATCTTGTTGTGAATGAATCAACATGGTATGCTGAAGGGATCTTAGGGGGGAAATTTGGGGTACAACAATATCATCGATCATCAACAAAGGAAAGTAAAAACCCAATGGGGGTATGCAAAAGATCAGAGTCGTTATCTCAATTTTAATTGAGTGACATCATCGATCATCAACAAAGTAAAGTAAAAATCCTATGGGGTGTATGCAAAAGATCGAAGTTGTTATCTCAATTCTAATCGAGTGACATCATCGATCATCAACAAAGGAAAGTAAAAATCCTATGAAGAGCATGAAAAAGATCGAAGTAGTTATCTCAATTCTAATTGAGTGACATCATTGATTTTCAACCCACGAAAATAAGAACAATCACAATTAGCAAACAAATGCAGAATGCCTGTTACAGGTCTTTAAACAGTGACTTCGAGTGCACGCTCTTTATTTCCTACTTCTAATGATATCTAGAAAGCAATAAAATGTGGAGAGATAAATTGGAAGAAGTGTAATACCAAACGAACAATAATGTCCGCAAAAAGCGCAACCAAAGCAAAGAAACCCAGAATACTTCGCGTGAGCTGGCACCAACAAATAAACAGTCAAAGATCCAATATTCAGAATAGGTGTCAAAGCATCATAGATGTGAAAATAAATCACAATTGGAAACTCAAACATGTCCGTATATCAAACAATAAACCTGCATAAGACTCAACTCAACAAGCAAAGATGAATCACAAGTCTCCAGTTGAAAAAAAATTAGGAATTAATTTCCTAAAATCAATTAAAAAAAAATCTAACAAACTTTTATTGATTTCTATAATTTTTCATCACTAATTTTTTTTCATTAAGAAAAATTAAACCAAAAGAAAAAAAACTAAATAAAAAAAAGAAATTTGAAAAGTTACGGGGGATGTGGAGCAGAATCAAAGGGTTTGTGTCCAACAATTCGCTTCAGGCGTAAGGCCCATGTGGAGAGTCCAGAATGGTGTTTTTGACCTTCAACTCTCAATGGTGCAAAAATGGTGTTAATGGGCTTGTAGAAGGGTGGTTCAATCCAAACTGCAAGGCTCAATATGAGTCTTTTTCCTCAGCAAGGCAAATCAATAACTCGTCCAAAAAAGTATTCAATGGGCTCAACAAAAAAAATCACTTGTGCTAGATCCATAATCCAAATTTCAACCAGATTTTCTATATTTCAATATTATATAAAAAAATTTGAAGAAAAATAGAAAATTTCTAAAACGGTGGCGTATGGATAGGATTCACAAGATTGTGATGTTTCAGATTCTTCGAACACTCTTCTCAACACATTGTGTTGCGACTGCCTCTTCTTCGACGATCTCCACCATTGAAGCTCCATGGCTTCTTCTCCTCCGTCAATTTCAGTCTTCGTCTCACTTCCTTCCCAGTGTCAACCTCATCGTCTTCCCCACTCTCTGTCGACAACCGCTCAGACTAGATCAAACCACCATACTTCCTTCATGAACCCTATTTATCTTTCAACCCTGATCACCAATACCATGCCCATTTTGTCTGCAAATTACTCATATGTCCAGATCTCTAAATTGGGGATTCGAAGCCCTGAATTGGATCTTGCGAATTATGGACACTCCTCAGTACTTCGTGGAGAATAAGCACACCATCAACTATAAATAACTAAGAACGGAAATATGCATGAGGTGATCAAGAAAACTGAACCTGATTGATACTTTTGCTACTCCAGTACGACGGTGAGAATCTCAGGTGAGTCTTTTGCACCTTATGCTTCTTCTCATTTCTGACTTCTGTTTCTGCACTATCGTTGCGGTTGATTGCGCGTGCGATCTTGTTACGATGCTGAAGCATTGTTGTTTGTTGATGTTGAACACATAGATAATGATGATGAAAATTATTTGCAAGTAATTGTTGCTACAATATGATGAATATTGAAGAATCTGTGAAGGTTGCAGAGAGAGTTCTAAGGTGCTTCTTGCATGAAGATGAGGATGAGGCTTGAAGGCCAAGCACAATGAAGACTCAAGCGTGAAGATTAAGAAAGACTTCAATTCCAGAGAGAGCTGAAAGGTGAGTCTCTACTTTTGTCTGAATCGTGAAAATGAATTTTTTTTATTTTTCATTTTGTTGTGATTCTGTTATATCCTCCCTCCTCTCCTTCTGCTATGATTCTGTTGCAGTTGGTTTTCTGAATCTATGAGAGTTAGTTAGCATCCTTTATTAGTTATTTGGAAATCGGTTATGTTGTTAGGGAAGTTAAAGGAATTGGTAATTCTATCTTTTTTTCTGTTATAGGCAGTTATAGTAGTCTGTTATGGTCTGTTAGATGAGCTGGCGGAATCGATTAGGCGATTGACGAAATTCTGTTTTCCTGTTATAGGCTAAACTATTTTTGCCTCTTTGTTCTGCTATTTTCTGTTTCCTGAATTCTTTGGTGATATTTATGCAGTTTTTTGTGATATTTTTGGACATGTTTTCCTTCAAGATTTGCAGTTAGCTTGCATATCAAAACCATTCTTATGTAGCGACCATGTTTACAATTTTTCAATAGACAATTCAGAAGTACCATCTATAATGTGCATTGAAATTGCATTTACTTCACTTTTAGGTTTATTGACCTATTACAAACTGTATTCCATGTTTCTGTATCTAGGGAAATAAGGTTTGCATCCCTTGTTATAAACAAAGACTAGCCGCTTTCTAGAGTTATCAGATATCTCAGATACAGATTCCTGTGGAATGTTTAAGCTGGAAGTGTCTGAAAATTTTACTTTCAGAGAAACTACTGCTGAAGGTGTGTCAGATTCATTACTTGTAAGAAACAAAACTGATGATGTAATGGTGTCAACCATGATCACCTGCCCATGTTCATATCCAACTGTAAGCTTCCCTCTAAATTGAGGCAAAAAACCTGATATATGAATTGCTGACTTCGACGGGTACAAGGCACAAAGTAGTGACCCGCTTTTGTTCACGCCTGAATGGGTTTTTTGGTTTACGTTTGGGCATAATTATGGCAAATTAAAACAAGGTAGTGGCATCAATTTAAATCAAACTTTTTTTTTAGGTTTTCAAGCTCATGTGTGGATATTTTTTTTCTTGTATTGCTTGGAACTTTCTTGTAATATTTGCAATTGCGCCTTGAATGTAATCTTGGATGATATTTGGACTTTGTCTTGCAATTCCTTCTCTCTTTTTTTAGCATTTCAAATTGTAATGACTTGAGGATATTAATGAACAAAACTTCCTCTAATTTTCCTTTTGAAATTCGAAACATTTTCTTTGATTTTGCAATATAGAGTAAACCATGAAGTTTGACAACTCGAATAATGGATGATGAATTCCTTGAAGCTTAAATGGGATCATATTTTTGAAAATTCGATAGTGAATTTGGACGATGAAGGGTTTGGATCAATACTGGGATTGAAAATGTAAATCCACTTGGCAAATTACGCCAAAATAGTCACTTGAAAGGAATTTGGATGGAATTGGAATGAATGAGAAGTGTCTTAAATTTAAAGTAATTCTCCTTAAAAGGAATTCTCATAGAATGGGATTGAATTTTCATTGACATTGAATGTTATTCGAATCATCAATTTTGAATTCCATACAAACCATTATACGGTTTTTCTTGAATTAATCTAGACATACTAACATTTCTTGAGTGAATCTTCACATCAGCTCAAGCGAACCCTTTATCTGAATCTTCATCTTAATAAAAATTCAAGAAGTAATCCTACCTCGATTCACAACTTAAGCATTAAGAATCGTCTTGATTTGATGAAATCTTCAATCAATCCTTAGCCACTTAACAAATAACATCACAAGAATGAATTCCTTGATTCAGTCCTCTAGACTTCTTAAAAAGAATGTCTATTGGAGAAGCCGCTTAAGCGAAACCCTTATTATTGCTCTTGAAAAATCTTGATGAAGGTTCTTGTACCCCAAAATTTTCCCTCTCATTTCTCAAGGCATTTCTCACAAGGATTCTCAAAATTCAAGCTTGCACAAGTACAATTGGATTTTTCAGCATCAAATTAGATAGGAAGTTGTTAAAAGGGGGAATGGAGATAAAAATAATATTTTTGAAAAATTGGAGAAAAAACAAGTCTTCTTCGATTCACCTCCTTCGATTGGCCTTTTGGCCTCTTTCGATGCAAGCTTGACTTGCATCCTTCGATTGGGCGTTGACCTCTAACACGCTGGCTTTAATTTACAAGGCAGTAGCTTCCTGTATACAACCTTCGATTACATCATTAGCCTCACATGGTTCACAATGTATTGATGTCCTGCATACCTGCTTCGATTGGACATTTGATGCTTGCATGCCTGTGTTGATTAGACAAATAATTCCCTCCATGCTTGCCTTGATTCACAAAGTTGATGGCTAGCTGTATAGAGATTTCGATTGAGCCATAGCTTCCTTATTGCATGCAAGAGGATCCCACCAGGCCAGCATGCACAAGGCAAAAGTCCTCCTTTTAGCATCCTTCGATTACACAATGTTTCCTCCTGTATCCTCCTCCGATTCAAAGAGGAAAAGCGTCTTGTTTGGCTTCCTTCAATTCAAGAGGCAAAGGCCTCTTTTCTGGTTTCCTTTGTTTTTTCCCTTTACCTCCTGCATGCTTTCTTCGTTTGGGCGTATGGTTTCTTCAATACAAGATTGGGTTTACATTCTTCGTTTGGGCTTGTGGTTTCCTTAAAATGCAAGTTCATTTGACCATATGGACCTTTGGTGGGCAATATTTCATTTGAGCAAAGGCCTCTTGCATGATTTGTTTGAAGTCACAAAGTAAGGGCCTCCCGCAATTCTCCTTCGACTCAGAAGCCTTTGGTTTTGCATGTTTGCCAAACTCTCAAGTCAGAATTTTCCCTTTATGCTAGCGCCCCAAAGTAGGGACCTCCTGCATGCACCCTTTCGTTTGACCATATGACCTCTGGCAGGAAAGCCTTCGATTAGACAAGAGCCACCTTCACACAAGGCTTCAATTGGAATTTTGATTCCCTTCGAATCAGCATATTTCGAACCCAACTCTGGATCCTTCAAAGCAAGTTTGTTTGAAGAACTTTGAGCAAATCTCATAGCCTTACCCTACTTGTCAGACTATGTTGCTTACAAATATTTATATGATCAGAGGCTTATACAAAGGTTTGAAGCTTTGTCTACTGGATAATATCATTCTTGGTTAAAATAGCAAAAGGCTACATACCATTTTTTCATAAAGAGTACTTTTATCACAAAATCAGCTCCAATCCTGATTTGTGTCTGAATGAAAAACAGTGCCAGAAGCACAAGTCCAATCTCCTGCCAGCAATCCCCACTTTTATTAGAAACGTGGGAGCAACGAAAAGGGACTAAATTTGTTTCATTTTCAACCAAACCATGGTTTGTTATCCTACAAACCTGGTTACTTCAAAACACCTTCAACTTTTTCTCTATAAATGGAGAAACATTGGCAAGCTAAAGGGGGATTTTTTTTGGGTGGTGGAACGAATCTTCAAGAAATCATAAAACTTCCAAAAACTCTCAAAAATCTTAATATTCATAAATATTAAACACAAATCCATAATCTAAACACTTGCTTCTTTCGAATCTGAAGTAATCCCCCACACTTAGATTTCCTTTGAATCCAGTAGAAAGAACATCACACTTGTTCTTCTCCTTCGAATCAAGCATTAGAAACGTAACCTTCGTTTCTTCTCTTCGAACCTAGGAGTATCCAAGGCAGCAGCTAAAGGTCCAACTCACATACCCCTAAATTCAAGGAAGGTAAGTCACTCTTAACCTTGAACCTTTCATTTCTAACATACCATGTGAATAATCTTCCTTTTCGTTTCAAACATGTACATCACATTTATTTCCCTTTCGTTTCCACCCTTTTAACTTGTATTCATTGCTAACCTCTTTGGTTTTGTTTATTGGTTTATTAAATATGCTTTAAGAACTAACCAGGCCATAACACAATGCTAGCATGGCCTCAGGCCATGTTGCTATTTAAAATCTCAAACGAAAAAAAACGGGAGGAAGGAAGTATGAAACGAAGCCTTAGGATTCTACACTAACTTCTGGGTCCAAACGAAAGAGGTAGCCAAAAGGATGGCCACACTGACATCCAGGCCCCATTTGAAGGAAGCAGAAACTCAGGCTACACCTCACTACTTCCAGACCCCAGTCGAAGGAAGCAGAAAGGTGAAGAGTGCACTTCATGCTGATTTCGTGCCTAGTCGAAAGGCATGCCCACACTGACTTCCAGGCCCCAGTCGAAGGAAGCAGAAAGGAAGACTGCATCTCATGCTGATTCCAGACCCAATCGGAAGGCACGCCTTCACTACTTCCATTCCAAATCTAAGGTAGCCAGAGAAGCAGAATCGGAGGGTTCTGCTGCCCAAATCGAAAAGCCCATTTTTCCTTTCTTTATTTTATTTTATCTTTATATTTTCTTGCTATTCAATATGGTTGTAATAGTGTAGGATTTATTCTTCTGAATTTTTATTACTTTTGTACAAATGTTAGTAATTAGGATGTATGGTAAGATGAAAACCAACAAGTAGACAATCTAAAACTCAAAGACAAAATACATGCAAATCAAACACATTATTCACACACATGCACCCCTAGGGTAATCTAACTTGTTGCCTCGGAAAAATAGTCATGCACCTCAAATATGGGCGTTTTAACAAAGACCCTTGATAAAAGATTGTAGTCCCTCGATGACCCTCAATGTTGCCTTCGGTAAACGATCTACTTCCTAAACGACATTGCTAAAATACCCCATAGTTTGCCTTCTATGACTATACAAACGTCCCATGCCCGTTCCTTCACATCCAATGATGGGGCTTCTTACCAAATCAATGGTAAGATAGCAACATCTAAAGGAGGAGAAAAAGATAATTAAGACCTTTTGAGTAGGTAGGATGCTCTTAGTTTCTCACTTGCTTACAAAAAAAAACATTTTATGCACCAACACTTTCATTTGAAACATTTTCAAAAGTTAAAACACTTTGTACGCATTCTAATAGAAACGAGAACCATTACAAAGACACTTTTCAAAATCACTTTCAAAAAACACATTCCACAAACACCTATTTAAACTATTTTCAAAACCAACACTTTGTACGCGTTCTTATAGAAACGAGAACCATTACAAAGACATTTTTAAAATACTTTCAAAACCCACACCAGAGGCACATTTTAAAACAAAAAGCAAGTGATCTAGCAAGCAACTAAGAGCCCGTAGATAACTACGGATGGAAAGGGTGCTAATACCTCCCCTTTTCATAACCTACCCCCCGAACTCAAGAAATAATCTAGAAAGGTCTTTCTTGTTCTTTTCAACCTTTCCTTATTGGATAAAAGAAAATTTGGTGGAGACTCTTGCTATCCAAAACAATTGCGATCAAATGCAAAACAACCAAGTCAGTTCTCCCACCGTATTACAAAGGTAACTTTGTATCTTGAGGAATTTTTCCAGGGAAGACGTCTATAATTCTTGTGATCCAAAACCCTAGTTTCACAGTCCAAGAATGATGAGAACACCAGTTGAGTCAACTTGGAATAAGATAGCAACCTCAATTCATAGGAAAAAATCGTGATGCCAAGGGCCCTTTAATCCTGTAACCATGGAATTGATGATATACATGAGATGTATATGATATGACGAGGGATCTTAGAGGAAAAAATTGGGGTATAACGACTTCCCTTATTTAAGTGTCTTCTATCCGGAGACACAAAGGTTAAAATCTTCGTCTCGACGCGATTGAAGATACTTAAATATAAAACAAGCCTTATTTTTGGCCCTAAGATGCCATGTGATGCTTATGTATATGGATGTGAAATATAAACTTCATGCAG